AATAAATAAATAATACAAAGCCAGCCAATCAACAGGAGGTGGAAATGACAAAGCAGAGAGGAGGCAGTGGTGGATGACATATGGCCTGATTCATTGTGGACCATTGTGCAGGGAAAACATGAAATCAATTAGGAAAGAGAGGTTGAAAGGGAGGGAAGGAAAGCTATAAGAATTGTTTGGATGTTTGCATGCTTGGGTGGTGATGTTTATGTATGCACAAATACTGCACTCACACAGTTCCAGACAAATGCAAATGTTAAGTGCCCACGGTGATTAATGCTGTTCTACTAACCAGTGCAACGTGCAGTAAATCAGTGTCAAGACTTCCATAACAATACACTTGAAGCTTGAGTTTCTGATGTTAAGTACAACAAATATTTCGCTGATAATACGTCTCTTTCACTAAGAGAATAGTCCAAGTACAATAGTATTATAGTATAATAAAATGATTGAAACTATGTCACAATATTTGAAATATAAGAGATGATACATTTTCCCTCTAAATCCTGCATCAAAATATGAATACAATAATTAGTAACGCTAGAACTAATGGCTTTCTGTGACCATACTTGTACGTATGTATTGTGTCATAACTACAGTAGGTCTCTGTCAAATTATGTAAGGAAAACCTCAAATTATACCAAGCAGGACTCAAGTCTCTAATTATAGCATCTTATCAGGAGCCGCTCCAAGTAATATCTTCAATTAACTTAAAGTTTTTCAGTCGATATAACATGATTATTCTATAGACACAAGAAAATGTAACACTTGGTGTCAACATCCACTGACTTTGTCTTCTTCTAATTTGTGATGACAAGCAATAAGAAACCAATCCGATGCACTCAGAGCTCACAGTACTTAAAGTAAAAATAGAATAGATAAAAGGTCAGGTATAGACTCCCACACTGTCTTTATAATTAGGAGGAATGTATCATTGTGGTAAGACAAATAACAACCTATAGAAAGCCTTTACGGTTCTCTCGTTTAAAAGACAGGAACACAATGAATCTTCCACACTGTTTTAAGATGAAGTATCTAATTTGCTTCATCATACATCTGCTAAGAATATAATTTAATTGATTTGGAGGATTTAATAAAGAATTTGGATCAAATCTAATTAGTTCTTAGTGGGTAATTGTGACGCCCGCATCAGCACTCATTCACTGTCTCATCGTTTAAGTAATCATGATACGCCACGACAGTCTACAATACTTGTAATGATTATTGGTGTGTTTAATTGAGAATTCACACTTAAACTGTAACAATAGAGCAGAAATAAAAAGGGATTGATGCATCACGATGTTTGAGGGATGGGACATTGCATGCAAGCGTGATAAACAAAACCTATTTTTTCCGACTGGATTTGTAGCTGAGAATTGTTTTTGACAGGGATGAAAATACTTTTGAAATTAGCTATCTTTTTTCGTATCGCAAAATCAGTTTTTCATCTTAATTTAGATCAAATTGTAATACAAGGCTCTTTTGCCCAGCACTTTGAACTGTGTTCCTTTCAATTGAAATCACAGAATATCAGTCAGCACTCACTTTGTAACTTTAAATGTGAGATGAAACATGAGATATCAGGATTAAATGTTTTCTTCTTTCCCCAGTTATTGCAAAAATAAAACTCGCTCAAGAGCTTCAAAAGCGAGGGAGAAATAAATAAATGGAAGCAGAGGAAAGATCAAAATACGCTGAGGTTGATGAAAGAACACAGCTGAAGATTTATTACAGAAAGATTGCAAAGGAAAATGAAATGAGAAAGAAACAGCAACAAGAATCAAGAGATGCCAGCGGGCTTTGGCATCTGAAGTGAGGGCTCTCATGTCACTGTAGTGACTGAGCGAGCGAGAGGAACACAGAGAAGGTAATAGCGGAGGGTACACAGTAGCCTCTGGCACACATAATGAAAAGGTCATGGAAACTTCATGGAGGTATAACACAGACACTCGAAACACAGCAGAGGTTGATAGATTAAGTTAGGAAGACTTTGTAGAGAATAAAGCTCAAGAAGAGACCAAGAAAGAGAGGGGTGGTACATTTACAGTATAGGTATAAAGTCAGTGGGTGAACAATTTAATATTGGGTACCAGGTTGGGATTACATGCACTCCTGTAATACATGCAATTCATTTGCTCGTGCTTTGGTATGAACATACTTTATTTGCATTGTCAGTTAGAATAGATAAGACTTCAAATTGATGGATTTGCTAGCTAAATAAATATTTGTTTATTTTAAGTGTTACACGTGTCATTCATAAATACAACCGTGCCTTTTCATATGTATTTAATTCCACATATTGATGAAGGCTCCGACTGAAATGTACAACATCTTTTAACCTTTATTGTGTTCAGGCACTTTAAGTATGTCTATAAACCTTGAATCCAAAGAACACCTTCAAGTGACAAATCTGGTATTTACTTGGACTTACATAATTTAAAAGTCAAGACATCTAACAATCTCGATGTCAGGAGTACATACTTGAATACATGTGAAGAGTTTTCTAAGATAAAAGACTTCTCTACTGTAAACCTCTGTGCCCACAAGTCTTTGATGTCTCTGGCATGTAAGGAAAAGCGATATAATGAAGGCTTTCTTTGTTTCGACATAACATATCAGAAGATCTAAAGGCAATAAGAAAAAATATACAAGTTAAAGAAGACATAGCATGCTTATTTCAGGTTCAAACGTATATTTTGGGTTTCTAGAAGAACATGTTTACATGCTTTGATGTTCAAAAAATACATTATTTTCTTATTCTGTATGTATGAATGCACCTGTGTTGACCCTCTGTCTGAAACTCTCTACTGTCTCTTTGAGCCCCCCTCCGAAAAAGCCCAGTCTGATTGACTTGTGAGAAAAATATAGCATCTCTAGGTAGCCCACAGTCATTTCATTCAGAATACAGATTCATGTGCACAATTTCAAACACAACTTCAGTAAATCATATGTTAAATAGTTTGATATAAAAAGCACCAATCAAAATACTTTATAGATAATTTTCATCTAACCATGTGACCTTATCATATACTATAAAAAGACATGTGGATAACACGGTTATAAGCCAGTCTTTTTGTCTCGTCCATTCACCCTTTTTTCATATTGCGCATAAAAGCATTTAGAGAAAGTCATTTGGGAAAAAAGCACTTCACAGGTAAGGTGACGGAGAATGGATGCTGGAGTGTGACGGATGGGCGGAGAAGCACACAGTTTGAAAGAGACTCTCGAAAATGACCTTTTTGCTCTTTCTCCTCGCATTGCACAAGCCTATAATTTTCTGTCTCCAACCTTTGCTGTCAATCAATGCAGCCGGCAATAATCCAGCTTCGGGTTCAGAGGATTCATTTAAAATGTGGTCTGTGATGCAGTACTTTCCAAAATGATGACTTCAAAGACATTAACTTTAAAATATACCATTTATTAATTTAACAATTAGTCTGGGAATGTAGGGCACTCATTACATTTAGGCTATTGGCATAACTTTGCCTCAAAACCAAACCACAGTGTAAAAAAGTCTAATTCTTAGTTCAAACCTTATTATTTTGACATTAACATGATGAGTTAGGGTCACACACTGAATGCTTTCACAGAATAATGATGTGGTGTAAGTTTGGAGAGCTGAGAAAGAAATACGTTTTCAATTTAGAAGCAGAAATGTTAGTAATCAGGCAGCTATTGTACGTGTTACCAAACCCAACAATTGTCTGTGCTGTGCTAGACAGATGATTTTGCAGTCAGTGAATCTATAAATAAGTAAGTATGTTTTTGCCCATTACAAACCCAATTGTACATGCAACACAGGCACTTTATGACTGTGGTTTAAAGTTTGAGTGCTCTCTAATATCGTAGACATACATAACTTGATCTATGTTCTTATCTCTGTCAAACTATATTAAAGTGGCAAAAGAGACTTATAGATTAAACCAAATGGATATATTGATTTAAACTTGCTTTGAAAGTTTTCCATAACTTAACAGTACATATCATAGTACTGTAGTTAAGTTTGGCTTTTGACTTTACAGCATAATATGGTTTGTGAACCTAAACGCAGGGTAGTTCTGACTGTCCCGTTACACACACACTTTGCTGGATTAACAATCCTAACCATACCTTAAACAGAGAGTTAAGATATTTTAAAGAAGCCCTATCATTTTTGGGGTTTCTCTTTCCTGTAGTGTGGTATGTTTTTGTGCATGTAAATGGTCTGCAAAGGCGGAAATCCCTGAGTTCCCTCCAGAGGAAGTTTTTCTCCCACACACAGCACATCGAAGCGGTTGACCAATCACAACAGAGCCAGCCAGCTAACCAATCAGAGCAGACTGGACTCTTGTTTCAGACAGAGGGTGTAAAGAGGTGCTGCAGCACAGGCTGTATTTCTATAGATGAACAAACAGATTTTTACTTTTAATCTAAAGGATTTGTGATATCCTACCCAACAACACACCACCAAACTTCAAACTCAGCATGAGTCTAATAAGCCAGAATGATTGAACACACCTATCTGTGCACTATCTTTAAAATAGAGGTACTATTACGAGTGTGAACGTTCCTTAAAGTACTATACTACCTTGTTGTTCTAGGGTGACTTATTATTACCTACTTGAGAAGCCAAAATAAACTCGTAACGTGAACAAATGATCCGAGGCTGAAGAAAGAACCGCACTTTCAAAGATTTATGTGGTGGGCCATCATTTGTCTCCCTCTTGGGTTTCATTTTAAATTGGGTTACACTGCCACATACTGCTGTGTTTTTATCTATTACCTTGAGCTATTTGCAAGGTTTTATAGGTAGCCTTTTGGAGGCTTAAAATATCTGAAAGGGAAACGGCCGATGATACTAAGTGCACTATGTTACGACAAAATGCACATGGGTAAAGTGAAATTCCACAATAGAGTGGTCCTGAGTTGATCACCTCAGACCTCCTTTACAGCAACACGTCAGCACAAACAAGATTTACTTTGTCAACGAGTAACTACTGTTTCTGTCCTCCATTTTTCAGAAATCTGCTGGATAAAGACACATTCTCCAAGTCGGATCCATGTAAGTACAATATACACTCCGTTTGAATGTCTGTGCTCTTCTGTCCAGGTACTTTCATCTGTAAAAGTACAGCCTTCTGTCCTTCTCCAATTTTGTTTCCCCCTTTTCTCACTCTGTTATTTTTTGGATATATTGCCCTGTGGTTTGGGAAATCTTTGTTATGTTGTTTGTTCACTGAAGTGGAGCTAAAACCCTCACATAGATTTCCAATTTGGAATCTGACTACATTTCTCTGATTGTCCCTCTCCCCTTTTCTTTCTCTTTAACCCTCCTTTTATTCACAATATTGCATTTCTTTCTGCCTCTATCTGGTTCCTTTTTACAGTATGCGTGCTCTATACGCAAGGTGTTGAAACCAAACAGTGGAGAGAGGTGAGTGTACACAACCAAACGCACATGCATGTGCAAACACACACTAATAGAATGAAATTGCTTATGTCCAATTAAGTTCCCGCTGTGCTCACTGTGTGTTTATTGTGATTGTGTGTCGTGTGAAGACATTTCAATTCTTTAGTTTTTTCCTTTGACTGAGAGCATGCAGCAGTCGGGTTTAACAATTCATTAATACGTAGAGTCACATTTTTGTCTTGAGTCTATTAATTCTCATCCTACCAAATAAAGTCCCTGCAGATCCCAGAGACGTAATTCTTGGTCCTATCTCACAGGTTTTCTATATTTAATATTTATAATTTTTCATGATTTTGTCAATCCATTTGTTCATTATGATTAGGGGGTTGAAAACTGTAAAGTTTATTTTGCTTTGCGTAATGTTTTCCATTAACCACAGTGGCCAGCTGTTTGAGGAAATAACATAGCCTTTTAAAATATGTATCTATATAATTTAAGGATTTATGTTGGGAAGTCTGAAAGCATTGTGAGACGGTATGATTCTTTTAGTCTTTTTCCACTTGTACGATGAGAAAGTTAAGGTGTGACATTTCTGATAAATGAGAGTGGCGACACTACATAGATAGACTACGTAGATTTAGTGTCACAAAGTGTGAAATGCTGCCACTGAGCAGTGATTGTTCTGGTCAGAAAGTACTTGCTGGTTTTTGTTAACTGGGATAACAATTTCACACGTAGAGAATGAAAAAGATCATGATAAATATCCATAGAGGGATTTTTTGCTTTGTTTGTGTTATTTGGTTTTGCTTGCGCCTATGACCCTTCATGCATCAATACACCATTTTTTTCAAACTGCTGTTTTTTTTCTGTGTATCCCTGCAAATGTCTCTTTGAGTGTGTTAAAGTCAAAATATAATTCTGTGCATGCTTATGCATTCCCGTAACAGAGAGGTTGTATTGGATGTTGGCCCCCATATTTGACATCTTTATTCACCCCATGCAAATTGTCAATGCATCTTCTGTAATTGTTAGAGATATTATTTATACAGCCCTGGCCTGCTGTGGATGTGTAATGGATCATCATGCACTGGGATTCATATGTATATATATTTTTTATTTATCCTTTATTTATCCAGGAATGTCCCATTGAGATACAAGATCTCTTCTTCCAGGGAGTCCTGACCAACACGGCACACAACAAGTTTCAACATAAAACAAGGGCATTAAACAAAAAACATACAATTCAAATATAAATACAGAAGGCCATTTGTGCAGTGGCAAGAAGCATAATCACATCAGCAGTAGCATCAGGTAAAACAGTTACATGTTTCATGAAGGGCTAATCGTAGCATACCTTTAAAACATTTACAGTAGGAAGTGCCTCTAGACAAAGTTTTACTTGCAGCGTATTCCATAAAAAGGGAGCATAGTGGGAGAATGCAGCTTTACCAAGCTCTGACTGCATCAAAGGAACATTTAAAAGCATCCCATTTGCTGCTCGTCTGGTATTAAAAAAGCAAGTATAAAAGGACAGAAGTCTGGAGATATATAAGGGCAGCTTACCTAGCAATGACTTAAGGATAAAAATCAACATGTGTGATTGTCTTCTTTGGTACAGAGAGGACCATCCTAGGGACTGATACAAAGTGCAGTGGTGGGTGCGAGAGCCTGCACCCGTTACAAAACGTATAGCAGTATGGTACGCAGAATCCAGCTTTTTAAGCAGGGAGGAAGGAGCATGCATATAGATCACATCGCCATAGTCTAATACAGACAGAAAGGAACTCTGCACAATTCTCTTCCTGGCTTCAGACGGGAAACATTTCTTTAAACGGAAGAAAAAGCCCAGTTTACGTCTAAGTTTCTCAGTAGGTTCCCAATATGAACATCAAAGGCCATCTTTTCATCAATCCATATGCCCAGATATTTGTAGGATGCTACTTTGTCAAGGCATGTCCCTTCCAGTGTCAGAATCGGAGGGACAGCTGTATTAGCTCGAGAGCGAGAGAAGGTCATGTACTTGGTCTTTTTTGCATTAAGGACCAGTCTTAGCCTTAGCAAGGAGTGTTGCAGTGTATTAAAAGCATCCTGTAGAAGCTCTATGGCCTGAGTTAAAGAGGAAGCCACTGTGTAAACAACTGTATCATCGGCGTATAAATGAAACCGTGCTGGGTTTATCCCATTTCCTAGTTCATTTATAAAGATGGAGAATAAGACAGGGGCCAAAATAGAACCTTGTGGAACACCTTTGTTTACAGTAAGAGCAGCTGAGGTATAATCTTCTACTGAGACACACTGAGTTCTTTCAGATAGATAGTTTTTAAACCAGCTCAAAGCCATTTTGCCAAGACCTATGCAGCCAAGCCTCTGCAGTAGCAATGTATGATCCACAGAATCAAAAGAATCAGTTTATACAATATATTATTTATACAGTCAGAGGACCCTCATCTCCTGCTTGTGTGTTTACCAGTCGAAGCAGATGGCTGTGTGGGTTTTGCTGAAACATAGCTGAGGGACTGAGAAGGATGATTTTGTGAATGTGTGAAAATGCATTAGCATATGTGTATATTCCTAAAGCATGGGCGTATACACATATGTAAAGGTCTTTACATCATTAAACTCTCGTTCGCACTTCTTACGAAATAGACTTAGTTTTTTGGCAGACAACTACCAAGTATAAGACAATATGTTAATCCAATCAACAATCCTGAATATACTGTATATGTCTCTAATGTACGGTGGCCCTGAAGTGCAAGACACCACAGCATTTCAGAAAACACTACAGAATTTCAGAAAACACCACAGCATTTCAAAAAACGCCACAGCATTTCAGAAAACACAACAGCATTTCAGAAAACGCCACAGCATTTCACATTGGACGGAAAGGGTATTCCTTTAGGGAGAACACTTCTTGTTTGTGATTGGACAGAGTCAGCCAGAGAAGCACTGCTGTGATTGGTTGTTTTTGCTGCCAGTCAAGAAATAACGCTTCGTGATTGGTCAACACCCGACAGCGAAATATGTCCCAACCTTATACAGTCTATGGTCCCAACACATCAGCCGTTAGCACACACACTCAGAGCTCACAGCTCCTCATATCTGTTCAGAAACTGGACACAAGTTAAACATGTACAAACCACAGACTGTCTATGTCATGGCGAATACAGTCGCTGCTTTATTTATGTCTGTATGACGTTGTTGTGAGTTTAGCCTGATGGCTCCGATTCATTCAGAAAACACGCATTTTATATCTTATCTGCAGACTTGTCAAAGCGTTAATTCATGGTTTTTACTAACCGTTATCAGTATGTAGTTACTTTGGCATCACTTTGAAACGTGTATTACAATTAAATCACGGTCAAATATGTTCATTTTGTTGTAGTTGGTATCTCCCATAGAATTTACATGGAGATACGCCCCGCCCCCTCTCCAGCGCGTCTTGTTTGAATGACAGGAGCAAACACAGCTGACAGCCGCGGTGAAACTCGAGCGATTAGAGCGATGCGAATATTGGGTGGTCTACCATAGTATTCACATGGAGATAAGCCCCTTAAAAAGCATGAATTAATAAAGCATTAATTATGTGTTTACTCCTGTCATTCAAACAAGACGCTGGAGAGGGGGCGGGCCGTATCTCTATGTAAATCCTATCGGAATCGGATCGATCAGGCTAAACTAACCTGTAGCTGCTCCGTCCACACTCACAACAACGTCATACAGACATAAATAAAGCAGCGACTGTATTTGAAATGACATAGACAGTCTGTGTTTTGTATATGTTTAACTTTTGTACAGTTTCTGAACAGATATGAGGAGCTGTGAGCTCTGAGTGTGTGCTAACAGCTAACGGCTGATGTGTTGGGCCAATCACGCAGCGTCATTTCTTGACTGGCAGCAAAAACAACCAATCACAGCAGTGCTTCTATGGCTCTGTCCAATCACAAACAAGAAGTGTTCTCCCTAAGAAATACCCTTTCCGTCCAATGTGAAATGCTGTGGTGTTTTCTGAAATGCTGTGGTGTTTTCTGAAATGCTTTTGTGTTTGTGAAATGCTGTGGCGTTTTGTGAAATGCTGCGGCGTTTTGTGAAATGCTGTGGCGTTTTGTGAAATGCTGCGGCGTTTTGTGAAATGCTGCGGCGTTTTGTGAAATGCTGTTGTGTTTTGTGAAATGCTGTTGTGTTTTGTGAAATGCTGTTGTGTTTTGTGAAATGCTGTTGTGTTTTGTGAAATGCTGTGGCGTTTTGTGAAATGCTGTGGTTTTTTGTGAAATGCTTTAGTGTTTTCTGAAATGCTGTAGCGTTTTGTGAAATGCTGTTGTGTTTTCTGAAATGCTGTGGTGTCTTGCACTTCAGGGCCACCGTACTAAAGCTTTGGCATTCAGAAGAATGAATGAAACCAAAAGCGAAATAGGGCGGAAAACCTTTGGGTCTGAATAGTAAAGCCAATGCAGAAATGACTTAAATGATGGGTTCTCTCTAATGGCCAGAAGGAGGTGACTGGTTACAAAAAGAATACAAAATGTGTCTATGAGAAAATGACCCTACTTGTCACTTGATTATTTTATTATTATCATCATTAATTATTTAGCTGACACTTTTATCACAATCGACTTACATATACTCAATCTCGTAGACATTCCTATGGGAGCAAGTTGGAGATGTTATCAGGTGGGAAAGGAAAACTCTAAAAGAAATTGTGAAAAATCACGTTTTTAATGATCGTCTGAAGAGACAGAGCAGGAGGAGGTTGATGGTGGGAACAGTATAGCTTCATTAAGATGTGACACAGCTGACCTTTTAATCTTTCCGCACTGTCTAATGTGTCTCTGACGTCACATGCTCTGCTGTTGGTGTTCTCTGTCTCTACAAGGCAATACATTGATTTAACTGGAGTCCAGATTGTTGATGGCATTTGCATATTTTGTATACGAGGTAATTGTGTATCATGATATTACAAACGTTAGACAATTCTATTGGAAGATAATACAATTATCATATTGAATTATCGTCCAGCTCTGGTCCACTCTAATCCACACTATCGTCATGGATCTCTCTGTCAGAACAAAGGACTAAGCTCATTATATCAGCACACATATTACAGTCTGCTTAACATGCTTCAAGGGAAGGACAATCCTTGTTGGCCAAAGAGCTACAGGACATTCATTCAGAACAAGTCCCCAGGGGTGTTTCATGTGTGTCCTAGGGGAAAAGATAATACAATCTTTGTCAAGTTTGGCACAAAAACCCACAAAATAATGAAGAACTAGACATTTCCTGTTGATGCCTTTATTTTTACACCATTCACCAACAGTGTGTGTGTAGGTGAGTTTTGTCTGTGTTTTGGGACATTCACATTGCAATATAAGACGCTGTTGGTGTCCCCAGTAGTTGTTGCTAGCCTGAAGAGTTTAATTTGCCATGTGTTAGCTGCTCTGCATGTGTGTGTGTGTGGTGTGTGTGTGTGGTGTGTGTGTGTGTGTGGTGTGTGTGTGTGTGTGTGTGTGTGTGGTGTGTGTTGTGTGTGGTGTGTGTGTGTGTGTGTGTGTGTGTGTGTGTGTGTGTGTGTGTGTGTGTGTGTGTGTGTGTGTGTGTGTGTGTTGAGGGTGCGGGTCAGGGACTTCATACCAGATTCTCATTAGACAGCTCCAGCAGCCCAGCAGTATCTAATGAACTCCGCAGCACGGTATTGTCTCTTCCACTCAGCAGGGAAAATCACATTATGGAGCTCATCTTCGCTTTCACCCACCTCTTTACTAACATGCGCTCACAGCCTCATCAACACCTCCGGGTCTCTTAGAAAGAATGGGTGGCTCACAGATTGAACATCAGTGTCCTTTTCTCTACTGTTCTCCCTCGCTCTGTTAAATATAGATGTTCAGTCAGTGAGTTCACACAGAGATAAATAGAACCTTAAAAGTTCAGAGAGGAGTTCAACACTGCAACAATACAGAAGTGTGTTGTTTTAGAGCACTTTGGTGACTTAATTGCCCACACTCTATTGTATTTGTTGCTTTTGCTGTATTGATTGACTTGACTTGGTTACCACACACATCTGCCTATAATGTGCAGTACCTGCTGTCCACATTATGGAACAACAACATCGACTCTTACTTGCAAATTACTTCCTTGACATTGATTTAAATGGAAGTTTGGCAGCTTTCCAATAAAACAGGCCATGTTTGGCAGGAACACAGTTGTTGTTTTAGTGCAGTCGTATGATATCCATCTTTATTGTACACTGCAAGCTAGAGACACAGAATGGCTAATTAGTCCAATCCAATTAGTGCCTGAATTGAATAACCACTTAATCAGTTTTAACAAAATGAATGAAGGCATAACATGAAGATTAATTTGGTAAAGATAATTATGATAAACAACAAATTCAAATCTCACCAAGTCTTGATGACTGGAATCAAGAGTTGTTTGTTACTTTTCTTGAAATAAAAATAAAACAAAATGTCATGTGCACTCAACACATGCTGTGCAGTAGGGAAATTCTATTTGATGAGTAATCAAAGATGGAATATCAGCTGTCCCCCCTGAATGAAATTGTGATATGTCATATCTCACAGTCCAATTCACCAAAGGTATTGCTAACTCTGCAAAAGCCCCTATATTGCCTTGCACCACAAACACAATGGCGAAGTAAAAAGACAACATTTCCGGACTGCTTAACATTCTTCATAAATTCATTTTAGGAATTTAAGCTTAACAAAAAAATTCCCATTTAGAATTGAACACCCCCTTTAGACTGTGTCCTTCAGTTAATACAAACGCTCTGAGGAAACTAATCATTTGCAATGAGGACATTTGTATAGGAAGGAGACCATTTTGCAACAAAAATGTGCATATTATTAATAGTTTGTAGTGCATTTAACCATTTGAGTGTGCTTTTAGAGCTTAATGCTTTCTTTTCATCTTAGAAGTGCAGGTTTCGCATCTGCAAAAGCTGCACCATACTTTGGTGGATTTGATACTTGGTGGTCGCCCTGTGTCAAATTCAAGGCATCATTATTTTGGTTAATATGTTGCTCAGTGGGTTCATGTTCCTAGATGATTATCACACTGAGTACATTGGGCTTCTTAATGCTCTCTGATAGCGATACAGTTTTTAAAATAAGCCATTCAAAGTCTTAGAATTAGTCAAGGAAGAATTGAGGAACCATATCAATGCCGTACTAATGTTGACTTCCTCCTTGTGTTCACCAACTGCTACCATCTGAAATCTTCTAATTTGGAGTACTTGATTAAAAAGTGTTATTCCAGGAAGCTTCCAAAGAATAATGTATGTATTGTTTCTTATATTGGAAACTCTTCATTGGCTTTCTGTTCAGTATATGCATTTGGCATTGCTGTATCTTTGTAGGCCATTTCTCTGGCATCATTTCCTGCACTTGGCACTTCAGGAGTGAAAATCCCACTAATGAGGATGCCTTAATCTCTTCATTTCTCACCCTCTCCCTTCCCACTCTTTTCCCACTCCCACTCTCCTCCCTCTTTATCTGTAGGAACCCTCCACTTTACTTTACCTTTTTTTCTATATAAATCTTCTTTGTTTTTTTTATCCCTCTCTTTTCTCTCAAAGTAGATTCTCTCCGTCTCTTTCTACACCTTTTCATCTCCTCTTGCTTTATCTCGGTCTCTCTGTGGGGTTGATGAGTGAGTTATCATGCTGTAATTAATGTGGCAGAGGAGCGAGGATCAAGGAAACACATCCCTGTCTTCCTCTGCAAAGCAGCGGCGTGTGAAAGTGCCTCCATTAATCAGGCCTCTGTGTATGTATGCATGATAAGTGAGAGTCTGACATAGAGAAATCACAAGCAGGAAACAAATCAAGTGGAAGGCGACAAAAAGCACTAAATGTATTTGTTTATTAAATTGGGTTTTGTTGTTTTGCTTTTCCTTTCATCATTTTTCTCCACCCACCTCTATCCGTCTTTCTATTTTCACAGTTTGGAAGAACAGAAGTGATAGACAACACCTTGAACCCAGACTTTGTTCGAAAGTACATCTTGGACTACTTTTTTGAGGAGAAGCAAAACCTTCGCTTCGACTTGTGAGTGATTTCCTTTGAAGTCGTATCAGCATTGTGTCTCCTCTCCTGCCCTTTTTCTTCTTTCACTGTGATATATTTGTCTCTCCCTCGGATCCGTGCTAATTGAGAGCCGTGCAATTAAAGTCAAATTAAATGAAGAAGAAATGTTGTATCGCTGTATAGCTTGTCCAAGTATATTGTTTAAGATAAGCATCAAAACCATCCAAGTTGGTCAAAGGCAATGCTAGCGTAAACAAAAGTTCCTCAAACTCCTAAAGAATGTTCTTTCATCAACATCGCATTGTATCTTACAATCAAGAAATCTCCACACTTTTAGACACAGTTGTGACTTTAGCTCATATCAGCATGTGTTGGCCTGAAATGAGAAGCATGCTTTTGTTTAAAAATAATGACAAAAATGTAATGTGAAAATGTACCAAAGTTATTTGTAACCTGCGTGCTGTGCGAGATATAAAAGCTTGACAGGCTTGACAATAACAATGAGGTGGGATGTTTTTTTAAAAACCAGTAAAATGTACATCCTGACAGATGTGTTGTGACATATATGCGACTTTATTCATTAGAGCCAATTGAAAGTTTGGAACTAGCAGTTTCTCTGTCTCATTAATTACCTCGTGCAATTACATCTCTTTCTAGAGTATTCATTCATCTTTCTATGTAGCGTGATGATGGTGGCCAGCATGAAGGGTTAACTGCCATCTCTTTACAGACTGAATGAACCGAAACGCTGCCTCAGCACTTGCTGTGGTTAAGCTTTTTCTAGGGATACAAATGTTCTCCATTTGAAATCAAATAAACCATTTTTCTCATAGCTCCTTCAACAGAATGACCCATCGCACAACCCTGCCTTTATATTTCTACAGCTATGGCACACAACGATATAAAACTAGATGCAATTGGGCCACTCTACAGTCAGCCTTTTGATCGTTTATTCCAATTATAGTGAGAATAACTCATAAACATTGTATTATGTGCAGCTTGAATAATCTCCCGGCAAACAGGATGTATCCTTTCATCGGATGTTTAATCTTGGTACATCACATGTGCTCCGTTTCCTTCACTTTCATAGCTTTGTATTCACATGCAAATACGATCAGGTCCACCACTCATCATTATGGAAGAGAAAAAAGGGTCTTGTTGAACCCTTGCTCAATTACTCTGCCCTACATATAGTAACATCTAAAAAGATACTACAATCCCATGTTCTTTTTATCTTGGCTCATTCTCAATTTAAGTGTGTGATGTCTAATGTGATGATCCATCTTTGTTTGATCTCTCATGATTCCTCCTACCACTTTACATACACTGCTTTTCAATTTAGCAAATTAGATTTTTCTCTCATTTGTTTTTATCCTGTTATCCATCTTTCCTCATTTTCGTTTTATTGAAATCATACCCATCCCTTCACTAGAGGTTGCAGACACATGATGTCCTTAAAGCTAAAACTAAACACACCAACAAAACATCTGAACAACCAAAATACAATAATTGTGGTCGAAGTATTATTTATGCTGCCAGTGTACATATCAGCGTGGGGTTGTTTTAAATCAAAATGCCCCTACAGTACTTACATAGCGAAAAGTCTGCCTTACAGTTCTATGAGATAATAGTTTTGATGCTTTGATTTTTTTCCCCTTCAGGTATGATGTCGACTCTAAAAGCCCAGACCTGTCCAAACATGTGAGTACCAACAATACAGTATTTTTGCTTTGAACCAGAGATAAATGGAGGCCAGGCTTGATCAAATTGAAATAAATGACTTTAATGGCTCAAAAAATGAATAAAATAAATGTTGGTTGATGGTAATATGGTGTTTAATGGGATGTAAGATTGGCCAAACTCTTTTTATCTGTGGTGTAACGGTAGCCATGTTTTTTCTATTGGGTGTTGCCTGCTGCATGGTATCTTCTTGATGGATTAAAACAAACCCTTATGTTTGCCTGATCATAGAAGTATCCAAATACAACGATTTATTTGTCTCTTTAATCAATGTATTAAGCAGGGATTACCCATGCTTTAGTTTTGGTTAAATATGCTAATTATACTACGTTACATATATGAAAGAGTCTTATGTGGTCTTGTATTTGTTATGTAAGTGTGAGTGCAGAGATAGGCATAGGTTATAGAATCATGTAGAAATAGTTTGAATTATGCAATGCTTTTAAACGTTAGTTTCCAATTTCAGCACAGTATTACATTATTTCTGAAAAAGATAAGTTATTCTTATCCATGTGGCTGGAAACTATAGTGACAGAAAGCATTGACAAAAGTTCAAAATAATCAGTTTTGATGATTATTTGACGTATTTGGATGACCAGGGTTTGCATTTTTTCATCACTAGCTATCATTTTGCCTGTGTGCTAATGGATTTAGTCCTGGCACAGCATGTTGTGTTTACGCTCACACTTCGCCATCTTGAGCAGGGCTAGGAGTGCTTCAGTAGGTATTTGGTATAGTGTTGTTGTCCTGTATATGATGTGCCCTGTTGTTATTGTTGTTGTTATTGTCATTGCTGTTGTTGCTGCTGCTGCCCAACCAATCTGGAAGCCCGCAGAACTCAACGTAGGTCCCAGCGTCTCTCTCACTTCTGACACTGCATGGCTGCTGTCTCACATTAAAGATCTTTCCTCAGGAGGAAGGATGGCGTCACTAATCAGAACCAAAAAAAGAAAGCCAAGCCCCCCATCTGTGCAGCTCTTAACCATCAGGGCCGTCTCAAAGGACTCCACAGCCGCCACAATATGAAAACTATACTCAGTCATTACCTCTATTAGCAGCTTTTGTAGCATGTTTTTGTAACATGATGAAGATGGATGAGATTTTCCGGGCTCTTTCTTGTAACAGTGAGTGGATCAGGGGGCAGAACAGACCTCACTGAAACACACTACAGCTCGAATTATTTAGTGTGCATCTGTCTGTAAATGCCAAGGTTAAGGAGACTTTGGTTTGTCCCACATCCGTGCTGTGATTAGTTTAAAAAGGACCAAGTTGAAAGCGAACACACAGTATGTCTTTGGGAGTTTGATATATTAATACTGGATGTTACTGAGATTGTTTCTGGTTTAACACATGATTATGATTTAAATGATGTCACTGTGCCCTACAGTGCTCTATAAATCATTGTCATTGTGCTATGAATCCCTCCATTGTCTCCCATTTGTCCATTATCCTTCACAATCCATTAAACCAGAGGTTTCCAACAGGTGGATTGCTGTCTACAAGTGTGGCCATTTTGAGTGGGTGGAAATTCTACCCTGAAATTAACCTCTGTAATGGTGCTTACCAAGTACCATCTCCCACATCCTATTGACTATAGGCACTAATATCTTAACAAATAGCTTTTGGGGTTGGCCTTGTGTCGTAGTGTTTATACCCTTTAAACAGTGCTTCCCCTCTCAGAGAATAGAGTTTAGTTTTGGTTATATACGGTATTATACTCTATGGTTTTAGTGAGAGGAATCCGGCTTGTTATCCCTATGTCCGCACAGCATATCATTCTTCTGGATTTGAATTCAAACTACAGGTGGGATGGATACAAATAAACTGAATTGGTTAAAAATACACCCAATGAAGTCTCTGGCTAGACCAGTTGGGAACCAATGCATCCAACCATCCTTACCATTGATTCCATTTCAACAAACTTTTCATTTCACATGTCTTTGTACAGAAAGAGAGGATTATTCATATTAAGGTTGACGGTGAGCCATCAAAGGTTGCAGTTTGCAATGCAAGCTATATTTATAAAATGGGTTCCCGACGTGACACCACTGCACTTAATGACATATGTGTTGTTTTGTATTTAACCAAAAAGGTTGTACAAAGAAAAACATCACTTATCGTAGTTTGGTGGTGATTAATTGGCTAGATGTCTAGCCCTTTCTAAAGGAGAATGAATGAGGAAGCTTCTTTGGCAGGATCAAATTCAAGGATAGTTTCATTTGCATGAGTTTCAGTGGTAGTAACAGTATTTCATTTTTAACCTGACTGTACTTTTATTTCTGATCTTTCCACTTCCTTGTTCTTCCTGTCCTTCCTTCCTCTCAGGACTTTTTGGGTCAGACGTTCTGTACTCTCGGGGAGATTGTTGGATCACCAGCCAGTCGACTGGAGAAATCAATGGGGTGAGTAAGAGCTTTCGGAACATTTATCAATGACTAAATACCCCTGGCTCCAATTTGATTGAGTAACACCATACTGTTCTAAGTGGGGAGTTAAGACGAAGAAAACAGCTTTGGACACAATGACTGTTCTGAGGTATAAGGTTAATAAACTTAACTTCATTTGTACTTAGACCGACCAGTACAAACTGCAAGGACTGATACAGCATTGTGAACAAGTCATAACGCAGCAATAGGACCACAGAGAGAGCATTAAGAGGAGGAAGAATGGGAAACACAGTGTTGGTGTGGCAATACATTGATCAGACAGAGAAGGAGAGGAAGTGAAGGGGAAACAACACATCCTACAGATGTTTTCCTCAGATAATTATTGTCATTAAAGAAAATGGCAAATTGCAGAACAAAATTACACAAATTACAGCTCACCCCTTCAGCTTCACACATGCTGAGAAAAATATTGTGATAATGGGGTGTCCTTTAATCTGTCTTTATACATCTATCATCCATCATCATCATTATCAGTGTGATGGGCTATTGTGTTATCCAGGTGAAGTAATTTGAATTCAGTCGCATTCAGTGAGATGTTCTGGTTCTCCTCGCTGAATAAGGCAATGTGAAGAACACAAGTGGGAAAAAATGAACACTGCATGAGATATTATTGTCATTAACTAAACAAACCAATATTGGTCAACATGTGTCACTTAAACGAAATAAATAATATTTAAGATTACTAAAAAAAACATTATTCTAAGCTGACATTGGAGAAAACTGAGATTGAACTGCAGATTTGATTTATTGTAGAATCTAATATGATTTAGTGTTTTTAAGTGTTTCAAACTAATACAACAGCCGGAACTGTATTGTAAGTTCAATTGTGCCTTTAAACAAGGATATAATGTACTGTATATTGGCCATCACTACCCCCCCCCCCCCCCCACACACACACACACACACACACACTTTAGTAATTTATTTAATAAATCATGTTCCTAGGTCAAAGGGCACATAAATACATAAGAGCGCATTCAGTTTTCCCCCCGCTCTCTTTTCTCTTGTTAATTGTAATAGCTTTCATCTTCCTCAAATTAGTGCTTGTTTATAAGTCAGCAGCCGTCGAGATTTTAAAAGAGAGACGCATGTTCAGAAAAGTTAACATTAATGACTGGAGAGTGTTTGTGAGGTACACACACTGTCTACAATGTGGACACTCAAAACAACCCTTAATCAATAGTCTAGATTGTATACAGATGTGCAACAAGGTTTCCCTCAATACCGAACAGTTGTGCGGCCAAACATTGTTTCCAACATTGCTCATTATGTCAGCAAAGGCCCCCATGTTGATTAATGTTGCAGTTACTTGTCTATTTGCATATTCTATCACCTTATTGGGAAGTTTGTATTGTAAGGCACAACATAATTACCATTGACTAGTAATGAAGGTGTCAGAATGTGTGGCCTCAATGTCACTTTGTTTACTGCACTCAAATTAGTCAAATTAATTTGCTGAACATGCCAGAATATATATGTGTGTGTGTGTCTCTATATTCCTACACGACTATGAAAGCAATGTGGTGTGTGTACATGCATGCTCAGAGCTGTGCCTGTTTCAACTCTGGCATAAAGTTATACATAACAAATCATACAACCTTTGATAAAGTTAGCCACATAGGCCACCAGGGTGGGTGGAGGGGGACCGGAGGAGGGACACAAAACTAGGGCCAACAGGGGGGGGGGGGGGGGGTCGGGAGGACGGGCTTGGGCTGACAGCCCAGGGGCAAGGCAGAGCTTGAAAAGGGGGTTATGGAGGGGCGAAGGCAGTGGCAGGAAGAGTCAGGGGGTCGGGCCCGAGGGCGAGGACCGCGGCACTCAGGGGGCTGGGCTTGAGGGCGAAGACCGCGGCTCTCAGGGGGCCGGGCTCTCAGGGGGCCGGGCTCGAGGGCGAAGACCGCGGCAGTCAGGAGGCCGGGCAGAACCCGGTGTCGGCCGGACAGGAACCGGCGCTGGTGGGACAGGCCTCGGCAGGATCCCCACAGAAGAGGACCAGGAGTTGGCAGGACCCCCGCCAGGAGGGCAGTCGGCGGGACCCCCAACGGAACAGCACATAGGGCTGGCAGGACCCCCGGCAGGAGAGTAGTTTGCGGGACCTCCAACGGGACTGGACATGGAGCCGGAAGGACCCCCAGCGGAACCTCCATCGGCATAGGACATGGGACTGGCAGCACCCCCAGCAGGAGAGTAGACGGCGGGGCCTCCAACGGCACAGGACAAAGGGTTGGCAGGACCCCCGGCAGGAGAGTAGTCGGCGGGACCTCCAACGGGACAGTACATGGATTGGTAGGACCCCCGGCAGAGGAGTAGTCGACGGGGCCTCCAACGGGACAGTACATGGAGTTGGCAGGACCCCCAGCGGAACCTCCAACGGACCAGGACATTGGGTAGGGACTCGAGACGTGACTCAAGTAGGGACTCGAGAGGAGACTCGAGAGGGGAACCAAGGGGGAACTCGAGAGGGGAACCAAGGGGGAACTCGAGAGGAGACTCGAGAGGGGAACTAGGGAGGGGACTCCAGAGGGGACTAGAGGAGGAACTAGAGGAGGGAACTCGAGAGGGGACTCGAGAGGGGAACTAGAGAGGGGACTCGAGGAGGGAACTCGAGAGGGAACTGGAGAGGGGACTCCAGAGGGGACTAGAGGAGGAACTAGAGGGGGGAACTCGAGAGGGGACTTGAGAGGGGAACTAGAGAGGGGACTCCAGAGGGGACTCCAGAGGGGACTCCAGAGGGGACTCCAGAGGGGACTCCAGAGGGGACTCCAGAGGGGACTAGAGGAGAGACTAGAGGAGAGACTAGAGGAGGGAGTAGAGGGGGAACTGGAGAGGGGACTGTGGCAGCTGGGGCCGGGACCATGGCTGCTGGGGACTGTACTAGGTCTGGAACCATGGCCGGAAATATGGCTGTATGATCCAGTTCTGAAGCCGGAAACATGGCTGTAAGGTCCGGTTCTGAAGCCGGAAATATGGCTGTAAGATCCCGTTCTGAAGCCGGAAACATGGCTGTAAGGTCCGGTTCTGGAGCCGGAAACATGGCTGTAAGATCCTGTTCTGAAGCCGGAAACATGGCTGTATGGGCCGGCTCTGGAGCCGGAACCATGGCTGCTAGGACCGGTACCTGAGTACGAGCTGGCTTCCTGACCTTGCGTCTTTTAGAAGTCTTTTGGAGGCTCCGTGGACCTCCAAACGCCAGGCGGGATCCCAAGAAAGGGTCAGAGAATGGAGACTGGCACTCAGGGCTGCGTGAGAAAACTCTCTGCAATGAGCCTCTCAACCATGGCATGTTGTCCACCTCCATTTGTGCCTTTTTGAGGACAGCCTCTTTGTCCCTCTTAGCCAAGGTTCTACTCCATACAGCATAATGACACTGAAGAGTGTACTCTAGGGATAACAAATCAAAATTAAAATCCGCTGGGTCCATTGTAGGTCGGTTCGTAATGTTACGGTGTGCAGGAAGCAGGACCCAAATGCAGATTTAAGTGACAAAATAATTCCTTTATTTCAAGGCTACAATATTCAGAGAGCGAACAGAACACTCACCGCAGTTTACTCACAACACAAGACGAACCGACACTGAACACAGGAAGAGACAAGACTAAATACAGGAAGGGGTAATCACAAGACGAGACACAGCCGGGCAGGGGAGAGAAACACAAGGGCCACAGGTGAAAACAATCAGACAACTAGACACACCAGGGAAACTAACGACGGGAGGAAACACACAGGAAGAAGGACCAGACAATATACAAGGCTGAAAATACCCATAACCAGACATACAAAACTACAACACAGACAGATCCTAACAGTTTCAGTTTCTTTTTTTAACACCATCTTCAGCTGAAACAGAAATTACGATTGAATGATTGAACTTTTTTTGTAGCAAATATTTTCCCATTTCCAAGACAAAAAAGCAACAGATGTGATTATTATAATGTTAATGATTGTTCTGTTTAGGTGTTCCAGTTTAAGGCATAAGTGGAAGACTTAGTGGGTCATGTTAATGGACTGAGGCCTAAATAATTAGTGAGAATCATTATGGTATGTTTTTGAATCCCCAGTACACAAAAACTATGCTAACACTGCTGTTTAAAGATAATAGGATGCAACACATGACTTTTCCACTTCCTAAATTGTTGTGTGTGTGTGTGTGTGTGTGTGTGTGTGTGTGTGTGTGTGTGTGTGTGTGTGTGTGTGTGTGTGTGTGTGTGTGTGTGTGTGTGTGTGTGTGTGTGTGTGTGTGTGTGTGTGTGTGTGTGTGTGTGTGTGTGTGTGTGTGTGTGTGTGTGTGTGTGTGTGTGTGTGTGTGTGTGTGTGTGAGTGAGAGAGGGATACAAAGAAAACACAGAGAGCTTCCGCCGAACAAGACATCTGTTTCATCTGAACATCAAAGGCCCTCTGCTCTTTTATGATTGCTTCAGATTTTACAATTCTCTCTTGCCACAGGCCTCATATTTTATTTAATACATTAACAGTCTCTTGTCATTTATATTTACATAGAAGCAACAAACAATTTAAACTGACAGCAGAGTGACGAAGATGCCTTTGGTTTGATATTTCTGAAAAAACAACAACTTCAATTAAATGAACAGAAGATGCTGTGAAAATGTGCGCATCTCACACATACTTCAGTGTGTAAGAAGAGATTCAGTTTTATATGCAAACAAAAATGTTTATGTCCTATTTTATTCAAGCCTTCGCAAATGTTCACACTGAAATATGCCTATCAACTTGACATTTGAATATTAGAGTGCAAAGTAGATTAAGGGTGTTTTATGTAAATAGGGTACGTGGATCAAGACTCATAAAGAAACATGCATGGCTTTTAAAACCTGATGCAAAGAGTGTGTAAGCATTTTTCTGCTTTATGGAGGCTAAAACTTTCTGTATGGACAGAGTTTTATATATCTGGCCCCTGGCATTTCTGATTGTGATGACTAGGCAAGAACGTATTTAAA